CCTTTTGTAAAAGCCCCCTTTCAGCTTTGCCCAGAAACGACAACAACAAATACAGAACAGCAACAAAATGCCTAAGAATTACTTCCGGACCCTGTTACTAACCATCTGCCTGCCAGCACACGATGGTGGTACGTTCGTTTATCTAGCATGTGGTCGTCTCTGTCATGCAGATGGCAGCATGATTGAATCGTTGTGCCGGACGGCGCAGATGTGCAAAACTGAGGATGTCCTGAGACGTTCAGATGCACGGCTCTAGCTGTAGCTCAGAATATCTTGCCCATGGCTGGCCTGGTCTCTGAAGTGTCAAGACCTGAGTTTCTGTGCAGACTGTTTGTTTCTCAGGGTGTGCAGGATTGTAGGCAGACGTGATTTGAACTCCAGCGACCGCGGCGCCTTGTTCGGAGGGCATGACCGCATCCACCACTCTTCTGACAAACTCTCGAGATCTTATGGCGGGCAAGTTCGGGACAGGCGGTGTCACTATGCAGACGAAGGCTAGATTCCTAGATGTTACAAGGCGGGACCTATAGGAGCACAGAGTGCAACTAGCAAGGGAACAACCCGCTCACGATCCCTGTTTCGGGACCGATTCTGCGTGCATTGCTTCGGCAGTAGGGTCGGTCCAGCTAAATATATCCTTTTGCCTGCCTGCGTTTGGGTAGTAGGTTCTTACTATCCTGTTGGAGGTAATTAGAGCATCTCATTACGTCCAGCCTGCGCCCGCCACCGTCTGAACGGCAGTGCTGCATGCACGACCTCACTGGTGGAACGAAAGCAACAATCCGAGAGTAAGACTTTGTCGGGGGCTTCCTGCTTCAGCTGTTGAGTATGACTGGTATGCACTCCTAGGGCCTAGGGCACCAGGCGTTAAGGATCTCGAGTTAGGCTTCTGTGGAGTTGCCTCGCCTTCTATTCACACGTTTGCATGTTCCTTCGTTTAGGCCTAGGCAGAACATCCGCGCAAGTTCCGACGCAATTCGGCGTTACACAACTGGCAGCTGGCCGCAGGCGAACCGGTAGTGCCGGTAATGGTTTCTGTAAAGTCACCCCTCCTGTAAGACTTGACCCTACGGTAGCTGGACGATTGCTGCGCCACCAGCTGCCTTGGGCTTCTGTCTCGAGCTGATCAAAAGAATATCTGATCGACCGGCTAGTGAGCTAGTGGAGCACGGAAGCACAGCTGTACCACAAAAAATCCCCACAGTCCCAAACCGCAGATCTGGTCAGCAAGATGGCGTCAGAAGTCCAAAGCAGTTCAAGTCGTCCAGACATGCCAAAACTAGGAGTATCGCGTGACGAATTCGCGTGTTCGGGAAGCAGCTGTAGATATGGTCTTGGCCGCAAAGCTGCCCACAGCACTGCTCCCACCTCTGACCTCCGGGTGGCTCATAGGTTGATGTTCCGAAGGTTCTAGTAGCCTGGAGCCGAAGAGGAATTTGCTGCCGTCCATGTTTGACATCGATTGCATGATGTCTTCCCTCTCGGATGGCCACATGTTTTTGAAATGGTGGGCATGTCACAGTCCCTTGTCGGGTCTATCAAAGAGCCATAGAAACGCATATATGCGCACAAGTGAGCCGCATGCTAGCAAGAGTTACCCTTGTGTATCATGTGAAGAACCACCGTTCTGAGAACCGGAAGCCAGGAAGACCAACCCGGCTTTTGCACACTTTCTTCTAAGGGACTGAATTTAGATCGGAATACGTTCGAGGAGCGACGCCTCCGGCACACCACCGGCGAGATGTGGAATGGTGCGGTATCAAGATGACGTTCGTAGTATGCAATGTTGAACCGCCTTCCAAACACCGGCAGTCCAACTCATACCACATGCGCCTGCGCACTGGAGAATGACCTCCGGCAATCACATAATAATATTTCAAGGAACGCCGGGGAGCTGCAGAAAGCGAGAGGAGGCATCTTCATGTCTTCACGCAAATAAACGATTTCTCCTCTACATCGGCGTGGGTTTGGAATGTTCGGCCGTTGAGCACGTGCAGCGTTCAACAAAGTATGTTACCGGGCTCTGATTGCAGGGTGTTAATGTCTGAACTTTCGATTTTCCTGTGCCAACGTTGGGGCCTCAGTGTGGGAAGAAGTACATGAGCAACAACCTATATAGTCCCACGGCTTTGGCTTGCCAACCAGCTTTCCACATGCGAAGGGAGTCAGAAGTGCAGATCCGTGATACTATCGGTCAAGACTGCACCTTGCACGCCGCCTTCCCGCGCCGCCGTTGCGATGATGTACAGAGGTAAAAAGTGGGCATAGCTCGGTCCACACACCCTTGAAAGTCAGAAGCCTTTGTTGCCACGTGTTACCACGACCACGAATCTCAGCATCCGCCCTTGACGGGACTTGCAGCGCAATCTTTGAGAGATCACCTTTTCCACAAGTGTGGAATGCTAGCAATGAGCTGGGCAGGAAGAGGCTCTGAGTCCGGGACTCGAAGAGGGCGAAGACGAAGAGGAAGACGACGAGGACTTGGCCGAAAGCCATGTGACAGTTACGGCTTTGCAATGTGCATTGGGCAATGGCAAGCCACCGAATATGGATACTGTCGCAACATGGTGATGTTCAGACTCACAGCAGTCATTCTCAGAAGGACATGGTCCGAAGTTCGCTTATGGAGAAACCCGTGGCTACTCATTGAAAGACTTGCGTCTCCAAAGCATAGCAAACACAAGGCAGGTTTGACAAGGCAGGGGTCACAAAATACTCCTGATTGTTCTGTAGTTGTCTTGAACCTCCTGATACGAACAGTCCAACCCTCAATTGCAGAGTGCAAGATGCGCCGCGAGTCCTGTGACACTAGCATGTAAGACGCCTTCTTGAGGGTTTGGTGCTCCACAAAGACAGTCTTAGGCCTGAATCAACCGGAAGCAACCCTCTCACACATGTCCGAAGCTTTCGGAAAGGATGATGCAGGCCCCGGGCTTTCCGCGTCATGCGCGGGGCGCTCACTTCGATCTAGGAGCGATCAGTATTGTCGAGCACCTTTATATTTTCAGGAGCAGCCTTATAGGCAATCAAGGGGCGGTCCCTTCGACGTGTAGCTTCATGCTAGATGTGGGCGAGATGTGGAGTTTGCGTCCGGGGTCTTGCAAAGCTGATGTGCCTCATGTCAGGTCAGGTTTCGAGGAACGGAAACGCCCGACTCATGGTCACACCCCACTTGTGCGCACTGCAACGGAGAGTCCAAGGCAACAGGCTTGATGGCCGTGTCGACGCTGGCGGTGGTCCGGGGCCTAGATGAGGCAATGAAATCGGGCACACACAGCATGCGACTGCCTTGCGTATTCCCTTGGCCATTCGAGCAACTCGTTTCGATTGCACCGGCGTTTTGATCTGCACTTTTTTGATCAGGGCATAGCAGAGAACAGCGTCCATATCCTGAACAGTGTGTCGCCGGTCTGGCACAGTTGGGCTCAGAGTGCTCGGACGAGCATATTTGATCTAATCATGAGGGCTAGCAGAGCATGCAGCTGGTTAAGCTACTCAGCTATTATTTCAGTGCTGCCTATTCAAGGAACTCTCATCCCGTCGCTTAAGGCCGTCAACTCCGAATTTCTCGTGGATGTCATCGAGTCAGTGGATGGCTCAGCAGCGAACAGAAGGGGATGCGGCTTTGATCCAACATCAGACCATTTACTAGCGTGCTTCAGGGCGTAAACGTTGACTGCGCGGAAGAGCCAAATCTCATCACCGCCTTCCCCAGCGAAAAAGGGATTGTAGAGATCAAGATACTGCGTGGAGCCTTGTGGCCCCACCAACCACCAACCGCACAAGCACAGCCGCAGCCACAGCCACAGACGACGACGACCACCACCACAACGGCGACAAGAACAACAAAAAGGTAACGGGGCACGTCTGCTGCAGCGGAGGGTGCGTCGTTGATTGTTGAAGATTTTGTGCAGTCATCTGCAACAGCTTTGAGCTGTTTTGCTGTTTTTCTGTACAAGAGACGGCGTTTCGAGGAAACCTTGTTCTTGTTGTTGCTGTTGCTGTTGTCGCTCTTGTTGCTGTTGATGTTGTTGTTGCTGTTGTTGCTGTTGCTGCTGCTGTTGTTGTTGTTGTTGTTGTTGTTGGTGGTGGTGGTGGTGGTGGTGGTGGTGTTGGTGTTGGTGTTGGTGTTGTTGTTGTGGTTGTTGTTGCTGTT